GTAAACTAAGTATAATGTAGAATATGTTTGACAACCCAATCAGGTATTCCATTACTGAAACATTACTAAACAGTCTTAAACATTAAAAAAACTATATTATATGTAATAGATTCATTTAGGAATTCTGTGAAATGTTCTTGCAGAAAATTGTTTTAAAATGTGAAGTGTTTCCAAAGTTCCGTTTTGTTCTTATTTCGTTATAAATGAAACCCGTAAATCAAAAGTAGATTATATGTAAAGGGAGATCACTCTTACATAAGCGACAACTTGATTTTAGCTGCACGATCGATATGTCCGCACACCATAAACGGTCACTGGAGTGTCAGTAGTCGGAATGGTCTATTGGTCCCGAACTATAGAGATAACTTTAGGGTACAGTCTAATATAAACAGATATCAAACACGTGCTCCATCACGTGTTTTCAACAAACGTTTCAACCACTGGAATAATTGTAGCAAAGAAACTATCGATATGTCAACCAAGGCTTAATTCAGGCTCAAATTCGATGAAACTAGTTCAAAATATTAACACAGGAAAGATTAGGGATAATAAGACCAGGTGTTCCAAAGGGCGACCGGCCACGTAAATCTTGGTCAATCTTAAGTAATAAAGTCCACAAGGTAAACAACAACGAACCGCCAGGTACAATAACGAGCACCAAACACGCCAAACTCATTTTACAAAAGGACAAAGATCACTATGACGACCGCAGAACCTTCCCTTAATTTTCACTGATCTGCAACTTCCTGTTTTTTTGTCAACTCCCAACACGTTGTTGAAAAATCGCAATATTGGGAACAAGTCCTTGAATATCAAATCGATAACGATATTTAAACAGCATAGGCTAAGAATGCAGAGATGTTGCTATCCAGAAAATTCAAAATAGGGAAATTGAAATCATCACGTAATCGTACAGCTTGGTGGAAAGCTGTCCTCGTTGGCTTCGTTGTTGGACAAGTTTGAAGAAGGCGGGTGATGTAGAAGAGTCCTTGTCCTTGTTTACCAGTCAATACCATGTACTCGCTTAGCTTACTGATGTTATTTACGTACATGAATATTTTATACGTTTGTACTTTCTACAGCCTGATCAATAAATTCTTGCTTTGGTGAAATATGCAGCAAAGATGATCTGAATCATCAAACATTACAAACAATAAAACGAGTGTTTGAAATATCAAAGACTTTTCCTATCAACAGGAATGACTTTCGATATACAGATTAAACTGGGCGGAAGAAACCGGCAGACAGACCAATGGTAATTTTTTTTTTCAAAAGTGCAACCACGCTTACAGACGGTTGTCTACGTACATCAGAGAGTACCAACTAAATTATGCTATACCAGAACGAAAAATTAAATACAGACTGTTCATGTTTATGAAATTTACATTTATCTACACACTGCCGTAACTACAACAGTAACAGAAGATGAGTGTACTAATGCTGTTTGTGACGTCACTATCATGTAACCTGCCATTCATGTTTCGGCTGTTTACTTTACTGCATTTACTCCATCGTATAAGATCATGTTGTTTTGCCCCAATTACCCAAATAACTATTTAATACTGTCCAAGCTGTTACTGTAACGTAAAGATAGAGTATATTTGAATAAAATTATAGCCGATATGATTGCACGATGCCCTTGTAACAAATCTTCCAAGAAACACTACCGAAGACATTCCAGGAGGTATTCAGAAAATATCATTGCAGTTTACAATTTTTTTCCTTATTGCCTATTTAAAGTACGAAACCATTTGATGTTTTATCTAAAAAAATATAAAATGCATTAAATACAATTATGACTTAAGTCTGTGCTTTGAACTCTATCGCTAAGCAGGAAGGTCTTCTCTTTCCATAACGTACATCTTCGGCTCATGTCATCATTTCTTGTCAACCGTACACGAACGACCATTATAAAACATTTATATAAACCACACCAACAGCTGGGTACTGATGTTGAATTTTAGTTTTATTTTACTTTCAGTCTCGATAACAATCTTGAACATTTCCATGGCTACAGTTGTCACCACCAAAAAGTGTTCCATCTGATGTAAGCATCACGTGCTTGGTTACAGAAGCACGCTTATGTTGATGACAAAAAAATCAGAAACAAGCCAGCACCGTCGACCTGGACCTGTGTCTAGCTTCAACAGCTTGGTGAGGAAGAATTATAACGAAACAGTGAAATAATTCCATGTGTTTTGTAGTCGCTCATAACATACGTAATTACACTAAATATCAAGCTGTGTGAACACAACTGGTTCCTGAATATGTCCCCCGGCACAACAAACTCCTGTTTACACACAACAAAACTATCTGTTATATGTCTTTCTTATATCAGGTTAAAATTGAAATATATTACCAGAATCCAGATCACAAAATAACTATTTTTAGAATTTGGGATATCGTGGTTTATTATTTTGAAGATTTCTGACATATTCCATAGTATAACAATGTCTTTATGAAAATTCACTTACGTTTGTGATTAAGGGTTCAGTGTATTTTTAGAAAATTAATTTATTGGGTTTATTTAAGGATAGTCTGAAGAATTCAGGTCTCCTTTAATGACAGATTTTCTGAGAATTAACTGTGAGATGTGTTCTTTCTACCAAACATTCAACATAGCAGACATTCCTGTCTGTCCTTAATCATCTCTCATACATTTTGTCTTCTATTCAACAGAGAAGACATCAACTATTCTATCCTATATCAAATAGTTTAATTTCGTGGCAAATGTCAACAACTTTGTCCAGGGATGCATGAAATATATTTACAACATTCATAAATTCACCTCTCCCAACCATCAAATCGTCTAAGTAATACTGAGTTACTTCCCTTGATGTAGAATACAGTACTTCACAAGACAACCCTCCAAGCCATCATTATGAAGCTGCTAAAGGATGGAAATACTTATTTCTGCGACGGTGAAAAATGACAGAATCAACATTAGTTTTTTCAAACCACTGGGTTCAAACCTTAATACTGGGCTTCTTTGTAAGTGTACATAAGAATACTGGGCTTCATTGTAATGGTAAACTTGATGTTGAAAAGTAAAAGTTGAGTCAATGGAGGCACACCCATGATGTCTGCTATAAAACCCTTAGACAGCTGATATAAAAATCTTCACTCTTAATTTCCATCTTAAATCGTTCCAGAGCTTTGGCTCTTAAAATTATTGCTCTTTGAACCTAATTCAACAGGAAATTTATACAAGATATAATGGTATTTTGAAAAATTTAAAAAGAAAAAATCTATCATGAATTCACTATGATCACAGATCACAGATGATATTGAATAACACATGATTTGCAAAAGCCTATCTATATGTAGAAATTTTATCTATTGATGCTTCAGCACAGCTCACTCCTGGCATACAGGAACAATTCTAGAAGTCAGTACTGACCAAATTTAGATACCAAGTTTCATCTGCTAATAGCATTGCAATTAGATTCAGAACATTTAAGTACATTAAAATGACATAGTCTTGACAAAAATTTAATCTCGATGACATTCAGTAATAATATAACATGTTTGTAATACACAATCACATCGAGTTGTCACTACGACAGCAGTTACAGCAGAAACGACAACAGAATCTACAACATTTGTGACATTTTATACATAATACTATGTACAAATAACACAAGAAAAATTGCACAATCAGAGCAAATTGCCAAATTTTGCGTTCAATCTCTAAATATTACATAATATATGCATTACTGAAATATTTTGTTATAATGTATAATAACCTGCACCTTCTTGTCAGATATCCAGCATTTGTATGACACATATACTGTAGTTACCATTTAACCTTAGTACTTACAGAGCTGACAACACTAGATAGCTCTGTAACTCTGGACTAGTGTGTGGTCGTCATGGTTACTAGTGACAGATACATTACACTTCCAAGCGACTTTGGTGAATTACATGTAACTTCTACCAATTCTAAGGAGATTTAAATTCACCACATTCATATCTAGTATTTCTGACAGAAATTTTAACCAATTAGTTACACAGTACATTCTGTTTGTATGTTCTCTACAGTTTTTATTGAATTTTTTCAATAATGTTCATTATACATGTTCTGATCAATAGGGTTCTGGAAGATTTGTTATCCAGCAGACAGGCCTATTTACATTTTACATTAGATAATACTGAGACAATACTAGAAATACATCAATCTTACAACTCAAATCAACATAATATTGTAACCATAGTTACCAGTCCCCACCATGGTAACTCCTCACCACAGTTACCCATCCCCACTGATAAAGGTAACCCCCCCAACACCCCCACCCCCAACACCCCCTCCTCAAAACAGCAATTTCCTGTTGCAACCACAGTTACACGTCGCTACCAATGTAATTTGCCCTCACCGACCACAGTCACATGTCATCATTATGGTAACTTGCCCCCAATTGTGATTACCTGTCCCAACCAGTTATACGTCACCATAATGGTAACTTGCCCCTGGTCACGGTTACCTGTCTCAACCAGTTATACGTCACCATCATGGTAACTTGCCCCCAACACTGTAACTTAGAGTCGTGTCACGGTCAAATTTTTGATAAGGAAGAGAAAATCTGGAAACCTCACACAACCATAACATATGACATGGTAGCTTGTTAGAGAAAACGAATGGGACCAAGATTACACAATGTGTATATCGGTAATGTGAATGAGGACTTAAACACTACTACCAATTATCTATAAGATCCTGTACAGCAGAAGCATGTCTTATTTTTTGTTACAGCTTTAGCAGTAATTAACTTCTAAAGTTTTTACACAGTTATCTCCCCTATCTGTACATCCAAATGGTCTGTTATCTAATAGTAAATACTGATGATACAGCTGTTTATACACATCACTCATGAACACACCATTCATTACTAAGTAGCTTATCAAATTACATTACAAGACATATCTAGAGTAAAGTTTTATTTACTGAAACGATAAATATCTGGATAGAAATACAAGATATGATGAAATAATTTCCTGTAAAAATCACTGACTATGTATATACATGTATTATGATAAAATGAATATGTTGTGAGTGAATTATAATAAATTGGATGTTAAGTAATCCTAAATCCTTTCAGATGTTCTTTTTTTTTTATGACAATGAAAATTCAAAGACTTCAGCAGAAAATATGTGTTTTTTTCTATGGTAATGAAGGACAAATGGTTGCCAGCAAATCCAAAGTGAGGACTGAAGGAATTCAAGCATATCAATTTTTTTTTCAAACAAGGAAGAAATTCCCAAGGAGAACGAGAGGAGTTCAAAAGACCCATTAAACCTCCAACCCAACTTCCAGCACCTCCATGTCACAGATATATAACTAGAGACTATTGTATGATGTTTACGGTGCAGTTCTATCATAAATTGCTGTGCAAATATCATGTAGCAGTCTTTAAGTGATAATAATAACAAAATGTCATGAAGAAATACAGCGCCTCTTGTAATAGAACAAAAGGTCTACATCACAGTATTTCGCTTAACAATCGTGGAAACATTTTCATTAACAGCAAAAATGTGACTTTTTTCCCTCCCATATCACTCGGAGGCAAGAACACAATTTTAAGCACAACATCAACAGGAACCATCTCAATATACAATTTGCCTTTAAATTATATCCAGCGTATAATTAGACTACTAAAAAGTCTACGACAGAAAGCTATCTTCAACAATATTCATCCCTTAAACAAAATATTGGCCCCCTGTTTCTTTCCCCTTTTATACAACAGTCCATTCGCACAAAGCAATAACAAGTATTTCTATCACATTCAACTTTGGCATATACACTGAACACATTAAACCCAATCTGTAAATATACATTGATACTAGGAGCAAGAAGAACTTATTTCCGTTTACTAGAATCCGTCGTGCCCAAATCTAGACTCTGCCAATCATCAACGTCATCATCATTAGCCCAAACTTCATTGTCCCAGCCAGAATTTCCATTGGTTTGTGAGGAAGGTTCATCTTCGAGATCTAGAAGGTTTCCAACCAATGGTTCCTTCTGTTTCTTTGGGGACGAGAAGCCATCGCCCCAGTCTGCATCGTCCCAACCATCGTTGCTCTTACTGGTGGTCTTGGAAGACTTTTTACTGTGATTTTTAGGGCTAGACTTTTTACTTTTGTTTGTTTTAAAATCTGTTTCTGCGCCCCAGCTATCCCATTCATTTTCATCCTTTTTGGGTTTTGAGGATTTTGACTGAAGTGGTTTCTCATCATTCAACCATGCTTCAAACTCGTCCTCCTCAGTATTCCTGTCTGAGGACAAACCCTGATCGTTGTAATCACTCGAGTGCATTTTTTTCTGGTTTTTCTTGCCATCTTGCCAGTCACCCTCCCAGCTATCCCATGAATCCTCATCTGACAAAAGTCGATTTTTACTGGGATCTCTGCAATACAGAAAACTGCCATCAAACTTTGAGCTTAACAGTTGAAGAACAGTCTTAGTATGAAGTGAAACAAGAAACCTGAGATATCAGTGCAGTATTTGCATAATAAAGTGCATCTTTAGATTTCTACTACACAATCTGCCCTTTCCATTGCAAAGAAATATCCGTGACCTTTTCATTATGTTCAAATGAATACAAATATGGAAATTGTAATATTGATTCAAAATGTCAAAACATATGACAGTGTTACATGTTTTGATGATGAATTGAAGCATATAGACTTTTCAGGAAATGGGAAAATTAAAAATGCTGAAAAACACAACGGGCAGTAACTCTTTGAAATACTGTTAAATCAAAATGTTGTTCATGAAATCACAGCCTCATGCCATTGTCATAATGTCTTCAAATCTCAAGAAAATGGTTGAAGAAAAAACTGTGGGAGAAGAAATCAGCAAAGGGCAATAACTTTACCAAAAATTGTAAAATTACAATGCCATTCATGATATCAGGATTTGGTGTAATGATTTTCAAGCCCCACCAATGTTTAGTTAAACAGGTTATCACTTAGAGAGAAAATGTCCATGCAAGATTTATATGCTCCAAAAAAAAAAAAGTCAATTGATTCTTAAAATTTATTGAATTAACCTGCCATCGAAAGAAAAACACATTTTCAAGTCAGTGTCATACAGCCTACAAAGTTTGCAATAAACTAATTGAAAACTGAGAGAAAAGATGTCCAGACAGGGTGAATATTATGAAAACATCAAAGGCAGTAACACAATTTCAAAATCAAGGTAACTAAGCCTACCAATTTTGATACAGATAGGTTGAAAACAAGGGAGGATATCACTAACATATTTCCTGGTTCAGATGTGGTAAAACTATAGAAACACAACTGCCATGTTGCATGGAACACAGGACTTCTTAAATATTTCCACTGTTATATCATTGGGGCATTGAATTGGCTTCATAATTTCAAGATATTGTAGACACCAAGCATCACCTTGCACAGAAATGCAATGATGCAACCAGGCTGGAAGGACATATAAACAAAGAAGTTACCTAACCCATCTTTAAAACAACCATATTATATTTTTTACCAACAGTAATTAATATTTTAGAAGGAGATTACGGAGATTACTGAGATTACTATAATTAAGAAGCACAAAAAGTAATGTACTTGTTTTCACTAATTGTTCGGTACTTCAGATCTTTTCAAACCTGGAAACAAACACCAATGACGATATATTTACCTCTGGGGTGATGCATTATCTGTGAGGAGGGAAGATTTCTCCCCTGGACTGGTGTCCACAGATGACAAAGTTGTTTTAGGTTCTCCCCAAAGAGACTGGAAATTGGTCCATCCCTTAGAACTGGCAGATGACAGCTAGAAAACAGGAAGGATGAAGAAAATTATATATGGTATACCGGCATCACAGTGCTCAGTTGTAAACAAGTCACTTTAAACACTCAGCCTGTTACAACCACTGTACTCCCTATGGCACCCAAGTGACAAAAACTTTGGAGTACCGTGTTATAACAGGCTTTGTGACTGGGGTGTTGTTGGGAGTACCGTGTTATAACAGACTTTGTGACTGGGGTGGTGTGGGGAGTACAGTGTTATAACAGACTTTGTGACTGGAGTGTTGTTGGGAGTACCGTGTTATAACAGACTTTGTGACTGGGGTGGTGTGGGGAGTACAGTGTTATAACAGACTTTGTGACTGGAGTGTTGTTGGGAGTACCGTGTTATAACAGACTTTGTGACTGGAGTGTTGTTGGGAGTACCGTGTTATAACAGACTTTGTGACTGGGGTGGTGTGGGGAGTACAGTGTTATAACAGACTTTGTGACTGGGGTGGTGTGGGGAGTACAGTGTTATAACAGACTTTGTGACTGGGGTGTTGTTGGGAGTACAGTGTTATAACAGACTTTGTGACTGGGGTGTTGTTGGGAGTACAGTGTTATAACAGACTTTGTGACTGGGGTGATGTTGGGAGTACAGTGTTATAACAGACTTTGTGACTGGGGTGTTACATACCTTTGATCATACCTATATACCTATATACACATACCTTTGATCATACCTATATACCTATGTGTACATACCTTTGATCATACCTATATACACATACCTTTGATCATACCTATATACCTATGTGTATATACCTTTGATCATACCTATATACCTATGTATACATACCTTTGATCATACCTATATACCTATGTGTACATACCTTTGATCATACCTATATACCTATGTGTATATACCTTTGATCATACCTATATACCTATGTGTACATACCTTTGATCATACCTATATACCTATATACACATACCTTTGATCATACCTATATACACATACCTTTGATCTTACCTATATACCTATATGTACATACCTTTGATCATACCTATATACCTATATACACATACCTTTGATCATACCTATATACCTATGTGTACATACCTTTGATCATACCTATATACACATATGATCATACCTATATACCTATGTGTATATACCTTTGATCATACCTATATACCTATGTATACATACCTTTGATCATACCTATATACCTATGTGTACATACCTTTGATCATACCTATATACCTATGTGTATATACCTTTGATCATACCTATATACCTATGTGTACATACCTTTGATCATACCTATATACCTATATACACATACCTTTGATCATACCTATATACACATACCTTTGATCTTACCTATATACCTATATGTACATATCTTTGATCATACCTATATACCTATATGTACATACCTTTGATCATACCTATATACACATACCTTTGATCATACCTATATACCTATGTCTACATACCTTTGATCATACCTATATAGTTGTGTCTACATACCTTTGATCATACCTATATACCTATATGTACATACCTTTGATCATACCTATATACCTATGTCTACATACCTTTGATCATACCTATATACCTATGTATACATACCTTTGATCATACCTATATACACATACCTTTGATCATACCTATACACCTATGTATACATACCTTTGATCATACCTATATACCTATGTATACATACATTTGATCATACCTATATACCTATGTATACATACATTTGATCATACCTATATACCTATGTGTACATACCTATATACCTATATGTACATACCTATATACCTATATGTACAAACATTTGATCATACCTATATACCTATATACACATACCTTTGATGCAAAGCCACTCATGGAGCTGCCGACGTCATTCAACAGATTTCCTTCTTTTACCTACAACATTAGAAAACATAATTTTACAAACGTGGCAGATTTTCCAACTAATTCTTTTTCATATTGGAAAGGGGAGAACCAATTCAAAATCATCCATTCATTTTATTATTAAGCAAGGATATTTAATGGAGAGCTTACTTCTAATTGACCTTTCACCTTTAGGTGCTTAAGTTGTATAATAAGACAAAGTCTTTTGTTTGGGTGCACACATTAGACAAGTTGAAACATTTTTACTACTTTCAGCCACAAAAAGTACATGAGCACATTACACAGGTTTTATGGAATTTTCTTTCCATCACCAGTCTAACAAATTTCCTTTAAAGCAGATTTTGCCAAGACATTCTATCTAAAGGAAAACACAACTGATTATAATGATGTTCATGAGCAAAAATGAAAATAAAATTAAGAAAACAAAGGAATACAACATCAAGGCAGCATGCAAAAACATTTACATGTAAATTTATCCTAAAACAATTGTGAATCAAGTTAAATCAATGGGTGTTTGCCCACAAGTAGTAACAAAGGAGAGAAACCAGTATGTCTGTAAGATAGGATCTTTTGCCTTTTGTGGTCCTGTATGAGATCTGCTGATGTCACTGGATGATCCAATACAAGAATTGTTGATATAATTCTGATTAGAGAGATTGTACAGTTATATGGATTTCCTGACATCCGTCACAGTTTAATGTTGTATAAGTGGAGTCTGTCGTAAGTTATGGTACCATGGGTTGCAGTTTGTAACCTTGGTGTTAGTTACAATAATGTTAGTATCAGTTATGCAAAGTTTGTAACATCAGTTATACAAAGTTTGTAACTTCTGTCTTAGTTATAATACTGTTAGTATCAGTTATACAAAGTTAGTAACTTTGGTGTTAGTTATAATACTGTTAGTATCAGTTATACAAAGTTTGTAACCTTGGTGCTAGTTATAATACTGGTAGTATCAGTTATGCAAAGTTTGTAACATCAGTTATACAAAGTTTGTAACTGCTGTCTTAGTTATAATACTGTTAGTTTCAGTTATACAAAGTTTGTAACCTTGGTGTTAGTTATAATACTGTTAGTATCAGTTATACAAAGTTTGTAACCTTGGTGCTAGTTATAATACTGTTAGTATCAGTTATACAAAGTTAGTAACCTTGGTGTTAGTTATAATACTGGTAGTATCAGTTATACAAAGTTAGTAACCTTGGTGTCAGTTATAATTTGTTAAGTCAAACAGCCTCCTGGTGTATACCTTGTCCTTTGTGGGTTTGATGACAGAGTCGTTGACTGATTGTCCGAGTTCCTTGGTTTTGGCTGCAGTCAGGGTAGCTACATGTGAGGCCTAGGAGTGCACAACAACAATCATAGTAACACAAAATACACAACAAAATTTAACTAAATATTTAAATAACACAACAAAATTTAACAAAATATTCAAATAAAAAAACCATAAGTGTAACTAGGGATATCACAGGAATCTTGGTGGCCATCATTGTAGGAGTGGTCATTTAATTAAAGCTGGATGTTTTCCTTTCTTTCCTTCTTCTTTCTTTCCTCTTCTCATTTTCCATTATATGTGGACATTTATATAGTAACATCAACAAGAACAGTACTTCCCCACAAATAACAATAACAAACTAAATTATCAAAATGATTTTTTAACAATTTATCCCAAAATTGACTCTTTTTTTTTTTTTTAACTTTTTAGGCATGTAAAAAATCCAAGATGGCCATCTATCAGCCATTTTGTTTCTCTGATCAATCTCAACATGGACAATACACCAATATTGGGAACAAGGTCATGAAATTTGAGACTAATTTATTCAGTTCTTCTCCAGAAAAAGCCATCAAAAGTATACTTTAAGGACAGAGACCCTGTGTACCATTGACAATTTAGTGTGATTTGATAAAGCTTTGGCAAAAGAAGAATCACACAAATGCTCATGCACTTGAAAGAAAGAAAATTGCTTAATAAGCAATATCATTTATAGACTTAATTGTACCTTGTTCATGCTAAAAAGCTGCATTTGCCAACATAAAGCACTTCACTAACTTTAAAATATGTGCAAACGCTCTGTTTATAGCTGAGGGGAAATATCAAGGTTAACATACTCAGTATCCATCTCTATTATCTCTAAATATACACCATATTTTCCTGGTTATAAGTCACACCGGTATATAGGCACTCTAAATGCTGTTTCCTTATTATGTGCCTACACTTCCTAATGTGTTTTATTTAGAAAATGTTAAAGATTCCCACACAAGCACAGTATTATTGTTTTAAATGTAAATTATATGTCATTTTCACTACATCCAGCAGAAATTTAGCACCGTCTCCCGTACAGGTTACTGTGGCTGGTAAAATGGCTGCCCTAAATAAAGAAAGTCAACATTGGCAAAAGTACTGATTGCATAACTGTCATGTTGCCATGTACAGAATTTCAGAATTCTCCAGAAACAAGTAAAACTAACTAGAGACCAAGGCATGTTCACATGCTCACACTTAAACTGGAGTAGAATCACACATAACAATTCAGGTTTTCCACATTTAACACGTCATCATAAGAATGGCGGAAACCCGAAATGGGACAAAGTAATGACTTCATGGAAGCTTCGATGTATAAACAATGACTGGGGACTGCATACATACTGGTCTGCCATCGGAGATAGAATAAATACTCCTTTTGTTGAGGTATATGATGCAACTTATCTTGTATAAAAACCAAAATGTTTAAAGTCTAACACAACAACAACACCTGTCACAGTGGAAGTTGTATACACAACAAACAACACTTGTCACAGTGTAAGTTGTATACAAAACACCTGTCACAGTGGAAGTTGTATACACAACATATAACACCTGTCACAGTGGAAACTGTATACAAAACCCCTGTCACACGGGAAGATGTATACACAACAAACAGCACCTGTCACAGTGGAAGTTGTATACACAACAAACAACACCTGTCACAGTGGAAGTTGTATACAAAACCCCTGTTACAGTGGAAGTTGTATACACAACAAACAGCACCTGTCACAGTGGAAGTTGTATACACAACACCTGTCACAGTGGAAGTTGAATACAAAACCCCTGTTACAGTGGAATTTATATACACAACACACAACACCTGTCACAGTGGAAGTTGTATACACAACAAACAACACCTCTTACAGTGGAAGTTGTATACACAACACAGAACACCTGTCACAGTGGAAGTTGTAAACACAACACAGTGGAAGTTGTATACACAACACACAACACCTGTCTCAGTGGAAGTTGTATACACAACACAGTGGAAGTTGTATATACAACACACAACACCTGTCACAGTGGAAGTTGTATACACAACACCTGTCACAGTGGAAGTTGTATACACAGCACAGTGGAAGTTGTATACACAACACACAACACCTGTCACAGTGGAAGTTGTATACACAACACAGTGGAAGTTGTATACACAACACACAACACCTGTCACAGTGGAAGTTGTATACACAACACCTGTCACAGTGGAAGTTGTATACACAACACACAACACCTTTAACAGTGTGGAAATTGTATACACAACAACAACACCTACAACACCTGTCACAGTGGAAGTTGTATACACAACAACACCTGTCACAGTGGAAGTTGTATACACAACAACACCTGTCACAGTGGAAGTTGTATACACAACAACAACACCTGTCACAGTGGAAGTTGTATACACAACAACAACACCAATCACAGTGGAGGTTATGAATACATTTTCAAGAAACAATCTCTTAGTTAATCAACATTTACTTGTTTCCCAAATTCTCAGAAAAAGGTGAAATGGAATGAAATATGAATTGTTTGCTGCTGTTTTGAAGACTAGTTACATTGCTTCTGACGTGATCACACCAACACTTTTCATAAGGTGTTACTGATAAAACTAAAATTTGTTATTTGTTTGGTTACCATGGCAACTTATGTATTTCTCTTAAAAACAAACAATCTGCCACTATTTCGTGTCTACAACTAAGAATATAATCAAGAGTACAGAGAAAATTCACCGTTTTTCAATTAAGGTAATTGCAAAATTTGAGCCTTTTCATCAGCTCACCAAATTTTTGTTTTAATGGATTTTACATGGTGATGCAGGTTGGGATGAAACACTAATCTAACTGAGCTATTAGTATTCGACTCAGTCAGAACTCCATGGACATGAGGCCTATGATATACCAAGATTAATCTTCCTTTTTCTTCATATGAAGATCCCTCCATGACAAACATTATTTAATTCACACAGACAAGAAGTTATAACAAACAACCCTTTTCATCTACAAACAACTCTCCACATGTACAAACAGCCCTCCTCACCTAAAAAGAGCCCTCTACATGTACAAACACTCCCTACATGTACAAACAGCCCTCTTTCATTGAAAAGTGCCCTCCACATGTACCAACAGCCCCTCTGATTAACAAAGAGCCTTTCTCCTTTACAAAAGCCCTCCCCATCTACAAACAGCCATCCATACTTGCAAACATCACTTCACATGTAGAAAATCCATCAACAGCCCCAACACACACAAAGAGCCTTCCTTATTTACAGAGAGCCCTCCTTATCTACAAACAGCCCTCCTTGTGTATAAACAGCTCTCCAAATGAACAAACAGTCCTCTACTGTCCTCCACACAGTGTAAAAATAGACCTGCACATACAGCAATCAACATGTACCAGGAGCTGTCAACATTTATAAAACAGCCCTCTAAGTGTACAAACACCCCTCTAAGTGTACAAACAGCCCTCCACATGTACAAACAGCCCTCTACATGTACAAATAGCCCTCTAAGTGTACAAACTGCCCTCTAAGTGTACAAACAGCTCTCTAAGTGTACAAACAGCTCTCTTAAGTGTACAAACAGCCCTCCACATGTACAAACAGCCCTCTACATGTACAAATAGCCCTCTAAGTGTACAAACAGTCCTCTACTGTCCTCCACACAGTGTAAAAATAGACCTGCACATACAGCAATCAATATGTACTAGGAGCTGTCAACATTTATAAAACAGCCCTCTAAGTGTACAAACACCCCTCTAAGTGTACAAACAGCCCTCCACATGTACATACAGCCCTCTAAGTGTACTAACAGCCCTCCACATGTACGAGTAGTCCTTCACTTGTACAAATAATGTACACTTTCTTTAAATGGTTTCCAGTCAATGGAAATTGAAGACATGCACAGCACTCAAGCTAATCACTTAATGTGCAAAAAATGTCAAACCTACTGACTATTTTTGTTTAGTGTAGACATGTGCTGTCATCGATTGTTGACTGACACTTCTCTGCTGTGTTAATCAGTTGTGTCTGCTATCACAGAATATCTACTGACCTTAGTAATCAATTTACAGGTACTTACCCAGAGGCAAGAGAACTCTTCCCATAATTCCTTTGCAGGATATAATATCTTTTAAGAATCTCTAGATCCTAACATCAGTTATGGACAAATTAACAGAAATGTCTCTCATTCTGTCAAGACACTTACTGCTGAGGTTTGAACTCTGTTGTGATTGTATGTTAACACATTGTAAAGAAATTCAACCATTAGCTAGTAATACTGTATATGAGATAAGTTTCTCCATATATTATCTTCAACCCAATTTGCCCATTTGCAAGTAGGGCAAAAATAGATGGCGTCCTTAAATCTAATCCTTTGGCTTTAAAGCATGTTTCAGTGTATTTTTATGTGAATGTAACACATTCTCTTAAAACAAGTTCACTTTGCATTGTTAAATTTCCCTCAAAATATTTTTTTTTCTTCACACCAGGACCAAAATAAAAATTAAAGAGTACAAATGTTTCCCTGTATAGAGTATTAAGTTTAATTTTAAATCTTAAGTTTAAAAAAGCTTCTCTTTAGAGCATAAGATTTTCCTTCATTCCAACTACTTATATCTTGAGACAGGTTTTTGCACAAATCTTAATGAACATTTCCCCTACAGAAATATTTCAGTAAATTTGCTTTCCCATTTTTTCAAATTTTCACTTTTGAAAATGGATTAAACCCTGATACTTCTCACAAGAAAATTGAAAAAATGAATAAGATACACACAGTCCTAGACAGTCCAGTTCCAATTAGCTTCATTTTCCAGGGCACTATAATAGATTCAGTATAACTATTTATAAAGTTTCCTTTAACAGAACTTACAAATAATCATTCACTACCTCTGACACTTATTGTACCAGTAATACATGCAATGTTTTGACTGTTTTCACCACTGCACATTGCTGCAGACCATACTTGACACAGTTTTCCATGGTGAGCCTTATCACAGCTTAAAAATGTGATCTTTTTGAAATTCCATCTTAATTATCT